GACATGCATGAACCTGGAAACCATCATTCTCAGCAAACTGACACAAGAACAGAAAATGAAATACCGCATGTTCTCACTCATAGGTGGGTGTTGAACAATGAGAACACAGCACTACACACTGGGGTCTGTTGGGGGGAATAGGGAGGGACAGCAGGGGGTGTGGAGTTGGGGAGAGAGAGCATGGGGAGAAATGCCAGATATAGGTGAAGGGGAGGAAGGCAGCAAATGGCACTGCGACATGTGTACCTATGCAGCAATCTTGCATGTTCTTCACATGTACCCCAAAACCTAAAATGCAATAAAAAAAAATAAATTCATTATGGGTATCTTCAGGAGGTAATTATTTGCATAAATTACTTCTTGTGGGAGAAAAGGAGAGTTTATAGTAATATGTTACTTAAGTAGGTTGACGTTACAAATAGCATTTGCTGATTTTATTCTCTTTGCCAAAATGCTACAGATAAATGTATAAATTCAGTTCTTCTCAAGAAGAGGAAAAAAACATAAACCTTGTGAGGCAATAATTGTTGAATGAAAACTCACACATAGCTAACCAAACCAGAAAGCTATAACTAAATATGCTGACAATGAAGACACAGATGGACTGAAAGACCAGTCTCTACAGAAATGAGATCTGTGAGGAAAAAGGTGGCAATAAATCAGTTTTAAAATGTGAGGATGGGCCGGGCGTGGTAGCTCAAGCCTGTAACCCCAGCATACTGGGAGGCCAAGGCAGGCAGATCACGAGGTCAAGAGATCAAGACCATCCTGGCCAACATGGTGAAACCCCGTCTCTACTAAAAATACAAAAAAACTAGCTGGGTGTTGTGGTGTGTGCCTGTAATCCCAGCTACTCAGGAGGCTGAGGCAGGAGAATTGCTTGAACCCGGGAGGCGGAGGTTGCGGTGAGCAGAGATTGTGCCACTGCACTTCAGCCTGGCGCCTGGCGACAGAGGGAGACTCTGTCTCAAAAATAAATAAATAAATAAAAATAAAATGTGAGGGTGAAGGGAGAAACAAAAAAGAAGCCTAACTGGTCAGGTAAATATGTGTCTCAGCCAAGAAAGAAAAGAAATATCAAATGCAGTAAATTCATGGAGAAATAGATATATAATAGAAAGTTTTGTTTTTTACAGCCCTAACAATACAGGTTAATACTTATGCTATAATTAGTTTTTTTAAAATTCTACTGTGATACGAGTTTAATTTCATTACTGTAAGACATTGAATTAGCTAACCATGGTCAGAAAGAACATTATTAGTACAGAGAGGGAAAACTAGAACTTTGCATCAACTTTCCACCTAGAGAAAGAATTGGTCACCAGAATCCTAAAGAGTAATGCATGGCTTATAAAGGTATATTTATTAGAACATGAATTGGGGCTTATAAAATATTTAAGAAATTTTAATCTAAAATTGTAATCTAAGATTCTTGTTGAATGATACTAGAAAATATATTGTAACCCTCTTTGCTACTGATAACCTGTTTCTAATTTATTTCTTATTTATGGCATAATTTCTCAAAATAACACATCAAAACATATACATCCTTAAACACTAAAAATAATACAAATGTAAGCAATATTTTAAAAATGCAGTTATCATACAGTCATAAAAAATAATGAGTTTGTGTCTCTTGTAGGGACATAAATGAATTTGGAAACCATCATTCTCAGCAAACTGACACAAAAACAAAAACCTCACGTGTTCTCACTCATAGGCAGGTGTTGAACAATGAGAAAACATGGAAGCAGGGAGGGGAGCATCACACAATGGGGTCTGTTGGGGGGGCACTACGGGAGGGACAGTGTGGGGTGGAGAGGTTGGGGAGAGATAACATGGGGAGAAATGTCAGATATAGGTGACAGGGTAATGGAGGCAGCAAACCACCTTGCCATGTATGTACCTATGCAATAATTATGCATGATCTGCACATGTACCCCAGAACCTAAAGTGCAATTTAAAAAATGCAGTTATCATTAGGTCCATTATGTATATTATGTTACTTATAACATTTCATTACATAAAAATTCATTTATCTATTTACATATTAAACAACTATGAAGGCTGAATTTGGTATTGCATTCTGGTAACCCCAAAACTTTGAGAGGCCGAGGCAGGCATATTACTTGAGCCCAACAGTTAAAGACTAGCCTGGGCAACAAGGTAAAACCCCATCTCTAAAAAAAGACAAAACTCAGCCAAGCAAGGTGACAAAGGCTTACAGTCCCAGCTACTTGAATGGCTGAGGTGGGAGGATCACCTGAGCCCAGGAAGTGGAGATTACAGTGAGCCAAAATCCCACCACTGCACTCCAGCCTGGGTGACAGTGAAACTTCATCTCCAAATAGCAACAATTACAATGCTTCGTACATGGAAGACTGTATTCCAGGTACTCAGGATACACACAGGTATGTCTATGACCTCCAGTAGCTCGTAGTAGAAGGAACTTCAATGATTATTTAACCAACTAAATATAAAAATTTCTGAAATTTTGTTTCCTAATGTAATATAAAGACTTTGAGTGGATATTTTAAATAAACTACAATGACAAAATTATGGTGTTAAAGTCTTACCATATTGGTGTTAAGAGTCTGCTTATGGAACTGGTTATTTGTAGTAAAATACATGATATCCATTAGATGAAGTGTTTTACATATGCCCTTTATCCACAACTTAAACACACAAAAATCCATTTGTAATACAAATTTTGGCAACATAAATTTAAATTTCTACATTTCTACTATATATATATATATTATATATAATATATATATAATTTTTTTTTTGAGACGGAGTTTCGCTCCTGTTACCCAGGCTGGAGTGCAATGGCGCGATCTCGGCTCACCGCAACCTCCGCCTCCTGGGTTCAGGCAATTCTCCTGCCTCAGCCTCCTGAGTAGCTGGGATTACAGGCACGTGCCACCATGCCCAGCTAATTTTTTTTTTTTTTTTTTAGTAGAGACGGGGTTTCACCATGTTGACCAAGATGGTCTCGATCTCTTGACCTCGTGATCCACCCTCCTCGGTCTCCCAAAGTGCTGGGATTACAGGCCTGAGCCACTGCGCCCGGCCTATAATTTGTATTTTTAAAGTAGATACAATCTGTTTACGTTGCCCAGGCTGTTCTCAAACTCCTGGGCTCAAGCAATCGTCTTGCCTCAAACCCCCAAGTAGCTGAGACTATAGGTGTACATCACCATACTCAGCTAGTTTTCTACAAATTTTAATATTATTTTAGTCCCACTACAGAACTAATAGTTTAAGTAGAAAAAAAAAGTCTCTCCTAAAAACTATATGATAGCAAAATAATGTGTCCAAAATAAGCTATATGCTATGTGCTGTACAGTTTTGCTGATAAAATGTGCCAGAGAGATTCCATAACTATAAGTAATTTGATTCACTGAAGATTTATACCGGCATAAATATTATGAGAGTAACACTAGTATGATTTAAAAGCCAGCATTAATATTTATCCGAACAAATCCTAATTAAATTTTATATTTCCTTTACTGGGGAAAGCATTTTCTAATGTGATTTTCCTGTCACTATGTAATTTCCAGTTCAGCCCCTTCCTCACAGTATTTAATCTTTTGTTATCAAGGTTAAACAATATTTTTAATCAACTAACCATGTCTATGCTTTTCTCTGACCAACTTTGTATTACCAACATAAAAAAAGATAAACCACTGCTAACGTTTAAAATTAAATAATATGCAAAACTTGACTGAGTGAGAAAATTAATTTTACAGAGGCCACTTTACCTTGGTGGTAACAGCCAAGTGTCGTCATCTGGCTTAGGGCATGGATCAACACACAGGTCATGGGAAGTGCCTTAGAGCAAGAATATACACTGAAAATGAGCAAGCTGATTTTCTTACACATTTTTAAACTGCGATTTCATATTCACCTTCTCCCTCCAAAAAACAAAACACAATCTGGGAAAAGGTCGGCTATCAGTACATTACATAATGTTTCTTGATACAATTAAAATATGGCCTCTGTTCTAAAAATAGATTTGTTACCTATTTTTGCATCTCTACCTGTCTAAATATATACAATAGTCAATGAAAACTGACCTTTAACTCCATAACAAATAGTGACAGCCAATATACACCAGCGCCTGATGATAATTTACCCTGACAAATTATGTATCCTGAAGTTGTAGTTAAAATTCAACTAATAAATGACATAACTTTTGTTACCTAAGCTGGAAGAAACCTGATGACCTAAAACAAGGTAGAAAGACCCATTGTTTTGTCCATTATCTAACTCTGGTTAAAAGACTAATCTCTGTCACTTCAAATTGGCAGTCTTGATTCTTCAACATAGATACCACTTAAGAAGGTCCCATTGCTTTTTTTTTTGTCCCCAAACAGTACAGGGAATCACCTGCAATATTTGAAATGTGTGAATGCTAAGTGCACAACAGTCTAATAACAAAGGTGTATGTTCTCTTTGAGAATACTCTTCCCAAAAAGATTAATACATTAACAGTAATAAAAATTCAATTAAACTCACTCTATACATCCTTTTTCAGGTCCACATTAACTAGGAATCCCTTAAATCTTTTACAGGTTGGGCTGGGCATGGTGGCTCATGCCTAAAATCCCAGCTCATTGGGAGGCTAAGGTGAGTAGATCACTTGAGGCCAGGAGCTCAAGACCAGCCTGGCCAACATGGTGAAACCCCGCCTCCACTAAAAATGCAAATATTAGCCAGGCGTGGTGGCAAAAACCTGTAATTTCAGCTACTTGGGAGGCTAAGGCAAAAGAATTACTTGAACCCTGGAGGTGGAGGTTGTGGTGAGCTGAAGTCATGCCACTGCACTCCAGCCTGGGTGACATAGCTAGAATCCCTCTAAAAAAAAAAAAAAAAAAAACCTTTCATAGGCACTCAGATATCCAAGAAGAGAGACAGACTGCTGGAAAAAGAGTCCTGGGAGTTGTACCTCTATTTCCCTAAGTATTATCTAAATATCTCTTCTTATTGGCTTCCAGATTCCACTTGTGCAGGGCTCCATGGCAGCCTCCAATCTTCAAATCGTCATTCTATGAAAGCACAGATTCCTCAAAGGATGGCCTCAAATGACCAGGAGTGGCTCTGTACATCCCTGCTCCTGAATAACAAGCTAACTGGAGTCTCCATCAACTGCCCCCAGCATAGACACACCTCCAGTTACCCAACTGAACTTCATGACTGATTGGCCAGTCGATCATGCCCCTGACCCAGCCTACATGAACATTGGATGGCCATCAGTGAATTATGAAAGAAGCAGAGGTGAGGAGGCACCTGCCCTGGACTTCAGCAGTCTCCAGCCCCTAGTACTCAAGAAGCTCTAAGCCACCCCTCTGTCACAATGGAAGCACGTGATACCACATTTCTAGCTGCTGTAGAGACCCTTCCCAGTGTCTCAAAATGTTTTAGCATCTTTCAGTAAAAATCTTCAAGTTTGTCAGGTATTGATCAAAAAAAAGGCAGCAACCTGTTTAAACCTCCCTTGAACCCTCTATTTTAATGTGCCTTTGTAAATTCTCAACACCTGTTCTTCATCTTTGTAATTTATCTTTATTAAATAACTTGTCATAAACTCAGATATTCTGATGTCTTACTGAAGAATTTGTATTCCTGTCCAATAGTGTTGTTTCTCTTCAAACTCCACCTTCCCCTGTTTGTTCCATTTTTAGCCACTGCCATTGGGTTTACCAGTTAATTTCATTCTTATTCTATCCACTGGGTGCACCAGACTCACTCCCGCTTTGTATCAGCATAATCGTCATTATCGTTATCATCATCATCATCATCATCTGAGACAGTCTCGCTCTTTCACCAGGCTGGAGTGCAATGGTGCGATCTCATCTCACTGCAACCTCCACCTCTTCTGTTCAAGCAATTCTTCTGCCTCAGCCTCCCAAATTGGTGGGAGTACAGGTGCCCACCACCATGCCCAGCTAATTTGTTTTGTATTTTTAGTAGACTGATTTTCACCATTTTGGCCACGATGGTCTGGATCTCTAAACCCCATAAAATGCCTGCCTCAGCATCCCAAAGTGCTGGGATTACAGGTGTGAGCCACCATGGCGTGGCTGTAATTCAAGCTATTTGGGAGGCTGAGGCAGGAGAATCGCTAGAACTCAGACAGCAGAGGTTTATTTCTTAAGACAGAGTTTCGCTCTCGTTACCCAGGCTGGAGTACAATGGCGCGATCTTGGTTCACCACAACCTCCGCCTCCTTGGTTCAGGCAATTCTCCTGCCTCAGCCTCCTGAGTAGCTCAGATTACAGGCACGCCCACCATGCCCAGCTAATTTTTTGTATTTTTAGTAGAGACGGGGTTTCACCATGTTGACCAGGATGGTCTCGATCTCTTGACCTCGTGATCCACCTGCCTCGTCCTCCCAAAGTGCTGGGATTACAGGCTTGAGCCACCGTGCCCGGCCCTACTAGAGGTTATTTTAATTAGTCCTATGATTCCTTAAAATTATGAAATCCTGCATGCTTTTGTTTGTCTATAGGAGAATTGGGGATACCTAGCCAGCAGAATTTGAAAAAACAATAGAACAAAGAAACCTAAAGCAGAGAAGAACACTTTAAAACACCGAGAAGGTTAGGGAAATATCATGGAAAAATGAGAAAAGACTAAAAAAAAACTATTGTGGAAGTAGGCAGAAATACTACCCTAAAGGGAAGACCAAACTGGGAAGTCAAATAATTGCTCTCTAAGACTTGTCTAATCTTGGTTTTGTAAAATTTGCAATCCTGTGGCCAAATTTGTACAGTGCCCTAAAGCCTTCGATGGTAAAGATATTAGTTACCACTGAAATTGTCAAATTTATTAGGCCAAACTCAGACCAACCTCATTTCTCACAATAACCTTAAATGAGAGTTAACATATAACTAGATTTGACTGTATTCATTAATCTGATTCTAACATATATCTTGATTCGATTGCTGCACAGATCTTTTTCTATTTATACTGAGGAGTAAAAGAAAGATTTGGAAGCCAGGCAGGCTGATGGTTTAACTGTGAATCAGCTACTGTTAACTATGGGGCCATGAGCCAATTAATCCACCTCTAAACCACAGCTGCCTATTAATAAACAGTAGGTTATAACAACACAGATGTTGCGATGGCTTTGTGAGATAATGCATAGCACATAGTAGGGTGGTTAGCCCAGAAACAACATTCAACAGATACTAGTTTCTTCCGTCTCTATTTCCTTAATAGAATTTTTTAAATTTGTAAAATCCTACCTGACTGCAGATTCATCAGAACTCCCAGGATCTAGTAAAGGAAAAGGTAAAATGCATAGTAAGTCAATAATAAATATACAGAATATTAAAAACATAAGAAGGCACAGTCATGCATGCCTGTAATCTCAATTACTCGGGAGACTGAGGCAGGTGGATCATTTGAGAAGCCCAGTTTGAGACCAGTTTGGAAAACAGCAAGACTCTACCGTCATAAAAAAATACTGTTTGCTCTCTTTAGACCATTTTCTTTAAAGTGTGGGACTGATGCTTTGTTACAAAGCATTCCTTTGGGAGCATACCTGAGACCTCATTAGAATTAATATAAATTATACCTACTGATATGTGACTAGTGCAGTAAGAATTCTTATTTCCCTTATTTTGTATTTATTAAAGGCAGAGAATAAATTTATCAAGATTTGATATATACAAGTGAGCTGCAGTATAGAAGTCATCTTAGACAAACCACATGAGATTCACTAAAAATGAATGGTATTGTCATCAGAACGGGTGTGATGAGTGACCAGTGTCAAAGAGCCGATTTCTGAACTAAAATATGAAGGGCAGTTAAAACAGAGTACAGTAGTTCCCTTATCCACGTGTGGAAAAGACACACTTGCCACGCTCTGCTCTCACACCACAGAAACAATCATCAACAAAGAAGGCTTCCGTGATCAAACGTGGGGAGGGGTTTTCCCCACCAACAAGCAAGCTAGCATTTCTGCAGATGACACAAGCCAGGTGGCCTCTAATTCGATTCTCATACTCTATCTGCAGATAGCCTCAGATTCCACAGGTAAAGGGCTTAGTCCCATCAGACTGCCTCCCGACATCAGCCCTAAGTCTGAAACTCCAGAACTTCTGACCAAGTGGCTTCAATTTGGGGTTCAAATGAGGTTCCCAGGACTCCCTCTTTGGGTTAAACTGAATTGCTGGAATGGCTCAAAGTACTCAGGGAAACGCATTTACTAGTTTCCTATGAATGGCATTACAAAAGGTACAGATGAAGAGATGCATAGTGCAAAGTGTGGGGAAAGTGGGGTGAAGATTCCATGCCTTCCCAGGACACACCATCCTCCAGGAACCTCAATGTATTCAGCGAACTGGAAACTCTCTAAGCCCAGTCGCTTTGGGTCTTTATGAAAGCTTATTACATACACACCACTGATTAAGTAAATCACAGGCCGTTGGTGACTGAAAACCTTCAGGCTTTCTCTTCGCCCCAGAGTCTGCAGAGTGAGACAGGAGATCTCAACCCTCTAATCAGTGTCTTCACAATAATGACCAACTGCCATCCTGAATCTATGTAGGGGTTTCCAGCCATCAATCATGAGCATACAAAAAGGCATCAGTTTGGAATTTCTAACGATTTTAAGAATTGTACACCAAGAAATCAAAGTCCAAACAGATTTTACATTTGCAGTTTTTATTTCTGCAGTGACAGCTAATAGTCAACTGTATTCCCAAAATATCACATGGTCATAAGTTTTAGTGTGCCATTCTGAGATGTGCGACGAAAGCTTGAGCCCCTCCATCCAGACCGGGATGTGAATGATCCCTTTCTTCAGTACATCCGCCCTGCATATGCTAGTCGCGCATTAGTCATCAACGCGGTCTCCTGTTGCCAGCCAGCAACATCATTAAGGCCTGAAGATCCAGGGTCACTCACAGCCCGTGATCTTTTTTCTGACTTGGATTCAGGGGGCGCATAGTGGCCTAACACTGCATTACGATGCCTTCGTCATTCACCTGAGAGCATCTCATTACACAGGCATTGTGTCACTTCACGTCATCACAGGAAAAAGGGGAGAACCACAGCCATGTATTTTATGATGAGTTACTGTTAATTTCTCACTGTGCCTAATTTATAAATTAAAAGCTATCATAGATATGTATGTGTAGGAAAAAATGGTATGTGATTCAGTACTATTCATGGTTTCAGGCATTTACTGGGAGTCTTGAAGTGTATCTCCTACATTTAAGGGGGAACTACTGCACTCATTTTGTTGAACACGACGAAGCTCCCTAGCTCGGCAGTTAAACCTGTTCAGGTTAGGATAAAACAACTTATCACCGGAAGCCAGCAAAACAGGAGTCAGACCAGAAACAAGGACCCTTGCAAATACTTTCCAGCTGCCAGTGGAGAAGAGCTCGAGAGAGATCAGTGTGTTACTCTGGCTAACACTCTTCTGGGGAAGGTGCTGGGTGGTTCACTCAGTTGTAGATACATGCTCAGCTCTACATATAATAAGGCCCAAATTCACGTGCCATTTTACCTCCCACAGAGAGACCCACTGGAAACATCACTCCTTTATGAGCTTGTCCACTCTGAATCACACCTCGCCTTCAGAGAGAAGCTTCAGAAACACTGGGGAGGTGTGGCGGGCTGCCAGGCAGTATATCTGATGTGAAAAATACATCAAAAGAAAACTATCAATGCCCTCTTGCTACCAGAATGCACCAATACTTTTTCCCTCTCCATAGTAGAAGAAAAAAATTCTTTCTAAACCTCATATAAAGCAAAATTGTGTGATTTCCCTGCCATCCCTCATGACAGAGAATGTAGCTGTAGGTGAGTCATGTCATCATAGTAGAAACGGTTTTCAAACTCATCCCTCGAAGGAAGAGGATCAGTGAGGAGCATGGCTGTTTACCTATAGCATTCACTGCCTGGTCTCGTTTCCAACTGAAAGTACAGATGGGAGACTTTGTGATTCCAGTTTGATAAAGTACAACCTCCTGAACTTGTTCCCTTCCAAGGAACAGAGTCTATCTGAACCCGCCCCATAAACCAAGTGCTCCAGTTTGTGCTGTGTGGTAATGCATGGCGTAATTTTCCTCAACCCTTTCCATTACGTGGCAAATATCTACACAAATCATGTTTTCTAAATATGTAAAGCACGTGTTATCAGATCTTATGATGAAAAAAATGAACAAAGTATATCTTAAAAGACTACATTCAGTCAACATAGAACTTTAACTTTTTAACTAGTCAAAAATATATTCACTGTATTATTTCAACTATATGACTTCTGAAAAAAGTAAAACTATGGATATAGAAAAGATCAGTGGTTGGAGTTGCTGGGAAGAAAGGGAGAGACAAACAGGCATAGCATTGAGAAGTTTTAGGGCAGCGAAACGATTCTGTCTGTCATATTAAAATAGTACATACATGTCATTATACATTTGTCTGAAGTCACAGAATGTGCAGTTTTAAGAATGAAGCCTGATGTCAACTATGAACTTTCGTTATAATGTGTCAATGTAGGTCCATCAGTTGTAACAAATGTAGCACTTTGATAGAAAATGCTAATAATGGGAAGGGCCATGTATGTGTGAGAGGC